CATCATAATTATTTCATCCCATTTTCTCTCCTCTCTCTATCCCCAGAGCCACCACACAGCCCCACGCCGTCGGCACCTCCACCACCTCTCCGGCGACACCACCGCTTCCATCACAAGTCGCTTCGGCTACCCTACACCAGTGCCGACTAGCATCTGCTAACTCAAAAGCCACAGTGCCGATCAGCATCTGCACAACGTCGCAAATTTTGTGGGTTTTTTTGGATATTTTTTGGACAAATAGTTGTTTAGATCTAAGATGAGATCTTTGTTTTGGTTTTAAATGTAGCGGATATGGTAGCGCTATTGTGGTTGACGGGTGGTGATGGTAGTGAAATGAGAGTTGAAAGTACTGCATTTGGATTCGGGAGACGGTGTGTGCAGTGGTGGTTTTGTCATGAGGTTGTGGTGCTCGCGCGTGCATGCGGCGGCTGGTGTCGGGCGGTGGGGTTGGAGGTGACACTGATTATTTTGTGTGTGGTTATTGGTGACTGTGATTATTGGTGGTCGAGATTATTTTGTGCGTGCGTGCGGCGGTGGGTGTCGGGTGTGCCGGTGATATGGAGTTGGAGGTGACTGTGATTATTTTGTGAGTGTAATCGAGTGTGACCAATTAAAATTGCGACGTGACTCACTGTAATCGAGTTGTGACCAATAAAAGTTTTGATTTTTTCAATTTGTGGCCTATAAAACATTTTAATTCGTGGCCAAAAATAACTTGTGACCTATAAAAAAATTTCATATATGGTTGAAAAAATGAAAAGTTATTGATGTGACATATTGTTAAACCGTGACCTTAAAATTCGATAATTTGTGACTAAAAAATAACGGGTGACCAATAAAAAAAATTGTGATTTGTGATCGAAAAATAATATGCAACCTATTATTTTAAGTTGTGACCCATAAAATATGTGATTTGTGACCAAAAATAAGTTGTGACCAATAATTTGATAAATTGTTATCGATTTGCATTTAATGAATGAGTTGCTAAGGTCAAAGGTTTGAGTTCACAAGTTACGGTCATTTTGTATAGGTCAGAAATCAATATAAACAGGTCACGGATCAGTATGATCAATTAATTTGATAGTTAACTTTGGCTAAATAATTCGTCGTTAAGGTCACAGACCATTGTTACAGGTTTGAGTTCACAAGTTACAGTCATTTTTATAGGTCACAAATCAATATTAATAGGTAATATGTGTTTGTAGAGTCGCGGTTCAAATTTACATGTCACATTTTATATTACTAGTTACAAGCAATAATCAAGAGGTCAAAAATCGTGTCAACTATACAAAAAAAATATGGCGGAGTTATCGCCGAAATATTTGTCGGAGTTGGAACAATTGTCGGAATCGGAGCATTCGCTGGAATAAATAGGCGGCGGAACGATCACTGGAATAATTGCCGGAATCAGAGTAGTCGTCAGAACATTCACCGGAGCGATAATCTGATAAATGAATTTTTCCCTTAATTATATTTAGGTGCAGGCCCTGTTGTCCAAAGCCATTTCCATTTTCCACCTTCAAATCAACACGGTTTCTTTGGCTGTCGGCTACTCCTTTCTTCTTCCCACCTCTCGGTGACGCCTCCACCAACCAGCCGTGCCACTGGTGCCGAAAGACTCGAGTCTCGGAATCTAGAAGGTCTAGCGATCGGCTGCCGACCGATCGCCCGTGAATTTTCTGTTTTCTAACTTTCTCTACCTTTTTTTTGTTGGTTTTCATGTAATTTTTTATTTATGAGTTAGAGCATCTCCAACAGACTCTTTAAATATGAGATGCTCTCTATTTTAAAGAGTCAACATGTAAAATCATGCTCCAATAGACTCTTTAAATTAAGATTTTAATTTAGAGAGTGGGTTTGGCTCTCCAAATTTGGAGAGCCAAACNTATGCTCTTTAAAAATAGAGAGCCTCTTGGAGATGCTCTTATGACTATTCTTAAGGGCTAAAATCATGATTTATGTTGTATGGATAATAAATTAATTGGCAATTTGGCATTGAAAATTTTGAAATGAGAATTGTGATTTCAGTGATTTGTGAATTTGTGATTTTTTTATTTCGTATTTTTTAAATATTTTGGGTTGTATTGAATTATATTTTCATATATATAATTTTTACGTTTTAGTGCATTTACATATATATTAAATATATTTTAATATTATTTAATTAAATATTAATAAACGAATCGTTCTTACGTTTGCTGATTGTCGACGGTCATTGGTCAACGATTAACATTTGGTCCGCCCGTGCTGAACTTTGTGCCGTGTCCGCCATTGAACGTACACGAGACAATGATTTCTTGGGCAGTGAAGATTTAACTATGTGCTACAAAGCATTATAGCTATCCAAGTCATGCAAACAATTTTGGTGTGTTATTCTTGTTGGAGATAGCGAGCACCAAAGATAATGAAACAAATAAGTTATATAATCATGTACAAAATTTATTGGATTTGAACCATCCGACCCGACGACTTCTTATGTTCTCACCTGTCCCTTCCCTTCTCGTCTCGTCCCCTCGCTGGCTTTAAGTAACAAACTTAGCCCCTGTTTGGTAGAGTTTAAAATCAGTTTTTAGTAGATTTTGATAAAAGTTGATAAAACGTGTGATTGAAAAGTCGCGAGTCTCATAAAATATATGGTTAAAATTAATTGTTGACTTTAATTTAAGATTTTAATTGGATTTTAATCCAATCCAAACAGGCACTTACGATCATTAAGAAAAATACAATTTTTATTATTATAATATATTCAATATTAATTAGAAAACCAAGCCCAAATGTGAATTTGATTTATCCCTTGTTTGATCATCAATATTTTTAAATGAAAATGTCCCTTGTGCACTTGTGATTGACATTATTGTTGGCATGACATGTGTTGACAAATGTTGATTGAATAAAAAATTTGTTAAAAATTTAAACTGTTAAATGGTGTGTTGTCACATGACACAATGTAAAAATTATGTAAAAAATGATATAAATGTAGCATAATTGATTTTCAAACTATGTTTTTCTCTCTTTTCTTTTCAATCACACATTTTTCAACAAAATAAAATTATGCTCAAATTCAAATATTTTCCTTATATTTTAAACATGTATTCTCCATAAAAACACTGCTGAATATAATATTTTATTTTTGTAAGATAAGATAAACTAAAACGCACGTGTCATTAAAGTAGACCTACCAGTGAATACCGGTTCCACCGGATAATTTGCACAATGTATACGTAGACCTTTCTAGGGTTTCATATCGTCCTTATATTGGCGCAACCCCCCTCCCCCCTTCTCTCTCTCTATATCTCTCTTCTACCTCTAAAAGCTGTACATGTATTCAGCTTCTCACTCGGAAATTACCTTCGTTGCCCTCTATTAGGTAAATCTGTCTCTCTCTCTCTGTGCGCGCGCGCGCGCGTTATTGTATTAGTGGATCGATGTGTTTGAGGAGATTTTTATGCACTCGTGAATCAGAAATTAGGGTTTGTTTCCACGGTAAGAAGTTTCTTTTGCATCTATGCATATGTCGTCTTTATAGTTTTTTTTTTAAAGGAATTTTAACTTTAAATTGGGAAATTGATTTTTCGGATATCAGTGAATCGTTCGTGTGTACAATTCCATAGGCAGTCTTAGACGTAGAAGCGAATTGATTGTTTGAATAGATTTGTACTCGGTCATGAATCAAAAGTTTGGGCTTATCGGCTATCAAAATATAAAATTGAAATTAGGGCTTGTTGACTATTTATGCGTTTGTAATTTTATGCATGCTGATGGGATTTGATTGTTCAAATGGATTTGTTTCTCACTCTTTGAATAAGGAATTAGGGATTATTGACTAACCAGATAAAAGGTTTTCAAATTCTAATGAAGGAATTTATGGGTTAATCGGGGCTTTACTATGACCCTGTCATAAAAACTTCACATTATTTTCTATTTTTCACAGCCTACTAAAGGTTGACTTTTTGCTATTAAAATTTGAATCTTTTGGTAAATTTAGATTTAGATAAATGTTACTTACAAAATTGATTCTCTCTCTGTATACGTTTTCCCCTCAAATCGATTGTTCTCATGCCTGAAATTGTCCAGCACTAATGTTGTCCAAAATTCAAAAGTCAACTTTAACATTGGTATATACAGTAGCGAATGAATGCTTTTATATGGCATTTGCACTAGTAATGTGGAGATCAGTTTGTGCATGATGAGAGGAAAATTTTGGATACTTGAATTGCTAGCATATATATGTTTTCAGGTTGAAGGGCCAAATTGTGTGGAAAAAGTATGAGATATATGCATTACTATTGACTTGCTTGTGTCACACACATACACGACAGATGCACACGTCTATTAACAGTTTACCGACTACCTTTAAAAGACAACTGAATTTGAAAGTGGACTTTAACACCATGTGATAGGTGCTAGTGTATTGATACTTTATCCTGCATCTGCACAAGTAATGCAATGAAGGCCATTTTATTTTGAGTACTTGAATTCAATCATATCATTATTTTCAGGTTGAAAGGTTGCATTGTGGAAAAAATAGTGTGAGGGAAAATTATGGTTTGATAAATGCAGTCATGGAGCTAGATCCGTAGTCCTTTTTATTTGGAACAATTGGTTGTTGTAAGAGTGTCCCAATCTCTTTTTTGGAAACCATCTTTTACATTACTGCCTTGTCATAACCTCTCTATGAAAAATAGATGGAAACAAGGAAGTGCAAGTGAGAGAGAGTACCTATATTACCATGTAAATCCTTAGAGAAAGAAAGAGATGGAAGTGAGGAAGTATATGAGTGAGGGAGAGTGCCTACAAGACCATGTGAATCCTTATTTGTATAGCCCCCTTGTCCTAGTTGTTTATCATAGCTGACTTATCTTGGTTAATAATATCATCTCTGCAATATTTGTTGTTTTGCTTGGTGTTCTCAAATTACAAAATATTTTGAACAGTAGCTGTCACTGTTAAATTATGTTTCTTAGATTAATATCAATCCAGAAATGGTCTGATAGACCAAGATGCCTTCATTATCTTATGTATCAGTTTCCGCAAGGAAGGCAGTAACCTGCAGAGTTGTCATTATGTGGAAGTTACTTGGTTTGTGATATGCGAAATTGATTAATGCCGGCCTGGGTCTCTCTGATCGTGCTGGTGATGGCTGATTAGAGGAATATCATCAGATTGCAAAAAAATTATAATGCATTATGCAATATTTTTTTTAGTTAGCAACAATTTGGTGTTGAGCGTTATACGAGTTATTGGACGCAGATCGCCGGCTCGAATTCGATGGTTTGGCCTGGTAACCTCCAAGATAGACATCAAACTGGTTGGGCAGCTCTTTTGGACAAGTGGACTATTGAACTGGACAAAACACGTGTGCCAGGAGTCCCGGTGATATGCCAGGCCAGCTACAACCTTAGAACCTGGGATGTTTTGATAACATCTGTACTATGCTGCATTGCCACTCAGCCATTGCAATTTGTTACTTGGCCCATGTTTGGTTGGGATTAAAATTTGATTTTAATTCCAAGTCAAAGTCAATAATTGATTTTAATCACATTTTTCGTGCGACCCACAACTTTTCAATCACACATTTCATCTAACTTTTATGAAAATCTATTAAAAATCTAATTTCAATATACACCAAATAGGTGCTTAATATTCATACTAATAACATACTTAAAAGATGACATCAATATAATCTGATTAAGTTACAATTATTATTATCTTGATTAACTACAACTATGTATGGGGATTTAAATTTTAATTAGATAAATTAATCTTTGTTAGTGTATACTGTACACGAGTTAAAACTTTTATTTTGTGTGAAAAATCTTTATTAAAAATCTTTATTACCAATTGTGTTATTTTATTATTGCAAAACTAAAACCATTGAATATATTTCTCAACCAAATATAAAAACATATGATTACATAAATGAAAGACTAAATTATAATGAAAGTAGTTCCAAAGTATAAAAAGAAGAGAAAAAAACCAATGTTATACTACGTCTGATGTGGAGAAACAGAATAAATGATACTTGAGAATTTACCTCCTTTTGTTATTATGCTACTCTATGCAATCCATTATGATATTACAGTACAAATTGATTTGTAAACTTTATATATTTATTTTTACGTTAGTTTTTCTAGTTAAAAAAAATGTTTTTATTAGAGTTTCATGGATGACTGCTGGTAGAACCAGTGAGGGAGTGTGACAGGCAAAGTTGAACCAATGACCTGGCTAAATATCCGGAAGTTGGGTGTGTGCGAGTGTTAGGAGTTGGACTGTCCTATAGTTGTATTAGGCACACTTATGGGTAGCCTTTTATTGTACCCTGAATTGCAAGAACAAGACTCATTTTTTTTTACCTGATTAAAGTTGGTATGGGGATTCTTGTGCTGTATATAAACCTCTAATTGTTGACCTTTAGATGCTACTAAGCATGAGTTGAGTGAAAATGTAAAATTAAGCCCTTGTTTGGGCCCCATTTTTTTTTGTCAAAATGAATTTTAGAATAGTGTTTTGTTGGAGAATGTGTGGTTAAAAAGTAAAGAAAAGCTTTCGGTTTATGCGTAAAAATAGGAGAATGTGTGGTTGAAAATGAGTTTTGAAAAAATGAGACCCATTCACAGGCTAAATAAGAAAAAAATTGAGAAAAATGTTAGTATGGATTTTCAGCTATGTAAAGCACTTTACTCAAAAGTTGTAATGCTTTTAGTTCCTTGGGAAGATGATTTCTTTTTTCTTTTCTGTGTGGTTGTTTTGGTGGGAGTTGAACACCGAATCCTTTTCTGATTTGTGTAATCTTTCCTTTACTGAGTTGTGTGGTACTTTGTTGTTATGGTAGTATTTGTTAGTCAAAGACTCAAAATAATTGTATGGATTGTTCTCTGATCAGATATGCATAAATGAATTTTTTGTCGAAGTCTGTTACTTTTATGAACTTGATTGAGATGAAACTGGTAGCAGGTAGTTGGAGATTAACATGATTTTAATTTATAGTGCGTTGATTGGGTTTTTTACTTGTTTTCCCGTGTTTTGCGGTGCTTATTTGTTAAGAAACTGTTTGATGTTTTTCAGTTGAATGCCTAATTGGTATTTCATATGGTGAGATTGACACTGCTTCATTATTCTCATTACTATTGCATGTTACGAGATGAATTTGAAGTTGCTTATTAATTTTTTGTTTTTTCGTTGTAGAGTGTTTTACTGGGTAATTGCTTGTGTAGGTGAGTTCGTGGGGGATAGGCTAACTTATTCTCCGAAGCCTATTTAGAGCTGTTCATATTTGCTTATGTTCTGCAGTTTTGGTGTTTAATGTCCAACAATCTTGTTTCGCACTTCCCCCTGCCAAATAGGCAGGTGGTTTCGATGGAGCATACCTCCACTCCACTGAACTTGCCAACATCAGAAATGCAAATGAGAGTGGCTGGCCAAGTGCCTAACAATGACCTATCACATCATTTTGCTTTATCAAATGAGCAAATGGGAGTGGCAGAGCCTATGTCCAGTAATCTTGGATTCCAAAATGTATTGGTACCAAACAACAAGGTAGGACAGAACGAACTTGTTGTTGGCATTAATGGATCAAATGCATTTTGGATGCCAAGCGAACAAGGTCATGATGGTGCGCTCATGCAAAACATCCAAGCTGGAGAAAAGTCATTGCTGCTGAGTAAGCGCAAGGCTGAAGGGGGTCCTGAGCAATATAATTTTGTCCCTCAACAGTCGCTGATTCCAAATAAGCGTGCAATACACATGGGAGCCAACATCAATTCACCTGGATTGAGACAACTGGCACCACAAAAGAAAACAGCGCCGATGCAGTCCAACTTGAGTTCTCCAGGGTTGCAAAATCAACCTTTGCCAAACAAGAAAATGGTGCGAAACGAATCTATGTCCAGTAAATCTGGTGGGCCACGGGGGCAGAATATGAAGAGACAAACTTCACTAATTCAATCTGGGTCCAAGGTTCAGACAGAGTCATCTGAAGCTATTAGGTTGAAAATGAGGGAGTCACTAGCTGATGCGCTGTCCTTGGCATTTCAAAAGCCAGATAAAGTTGCAAATGCAGAGGAAAAACAGACTGATGCAGCCAACATTAATCAGGCACCTGTGGAATGTCAGTCTTCCGAGTCCAATTTGTCTACAGCTACTCCTATTCCTGGTTCCAAGGATATTTCTCCTTTAAAAGAGTTGGCCACAGCTGGTAAACCCAGCAATTGCCAGGTGTTATCTGCCGAGTTTCCTACTCATGAAAGCAGTGGAAATGATGTACAAGCTTTTCGGGAGTTCCATTATGGTACCATTTTGCCCGATGAGGATGTTTCATTTAGTGAAAATTTCTTTGTTAAGGATGATCTATTACAGGGGAATGGGCTTTCATGGGCATTAGATTTTGACGTGGAGGTAAGAGAGGGAAAGGAGGCTCAAAATTCTGAGAAGTCTTTAAAGGAGGAATATCAGGGGGCTGGAAATAGGGGTGAGCTAGGTAGTTTAACTCCGACCAATTTAGCTTTTAAAATTGAAGAAGAACTGTTCAAAGTTTTTGGTGGTGTAAACAAAAAGTACAAAGAGAAGGGTAGGTCTCTTTTATTCAACCTGAAAGATCGTAATAATCCAGAACTGAGAGAGAGAGTCGTGTCTGGTGAAATATCACCTGAAAGGTTGTGTTCAATGTCAGCTGAAGAACTTGCTTCTAAGGAGTTATCAGAGTGGCGAATGGCAAAAGCAGAAGAGATGGCACAAATGGTAGTTTTGCCTGACACAGATATAAGACGTTTGGTTAAGAAAACGCACAAGGGTGAGTATCAAGTAGAGGTGGAACGTGACTATAGTATGGCTGCTGAGGTCTCTGCCGGGACGAATGTGTCGACACAACATAAGCCAAGGAAGGAGACTGAAACTCATTCTCCTTCCAAGTTAGATAATAATAAAGATAGAGAGAATGTTGCAGGTCTGGAAAAAAATTCAGAAAACCAGGATTTTCAAGGTAGTCTGGTTATCCCAACTGATGGGACTGATTTAATGCAAGGAATGATGGTGGATGATGAATTGAAGGATGTTGATTTTCTACCTCCAATTGTTTCTTTGGATGAGTTTATGGAGTCCCTTAATTCTGAACCTCCTTTTGATAATATACCAGCAGATGCAGATAAAACATCCCACATCCTGAGCAAGGAAAGTCCCGAAGAAGTAAACAATTCTAAGGCTTTGATTTCCGCTGCAGAAAATTCTACACATACCCCCTCCAAGAAGGTAGATGAATCGGTTAGTGAACGTAAAGTAGATGTGGCAGTTCCATCTAACAGTAGTTCTGCAGTGCAAAAAGGACTTCCTTCTGGTGATGCATCTGAGATTGAATGTTTGTGGGAGGGTGTTCTTCAACTTAATATTTCATCCTTGGTCACCGTCGGTGGTCAATTTCAAAGGTATGCATCTTGTTATCCACACGTGCACTACCCATTGTAATTTTGAGACCTTGCTTTGTATATTTAAATATATGAAGTCATTTGTTTTGCATCCCTGGATATTAAGTTACAAATTGAGAGAGAAAATTTTTTTTGATCCCGTCCATTAATGAATCTTGATGGCTTGGGGAGGTTTATACCCCCCGTGTTCAGTCTGAAGATGTAGCTTATGGTCGATAAATGATAATTCATGTCTTATAGATGCACCAGTTATAATATATATTTTTTTCATATTCTGTTGATCACATGTATTTGTATTTCGTTTTCTGTGAAAATGCTTCCTAGAATATTATGGCATTTAAAATTTTGTTGAGTTCCTTTAGGTATGCCATATTATTTATTCTGACGTGTTAGTCCATGTTACAGTGGCGAGAAGACATCGACGAAAGAGTGGCCCAGCTCTCTCGAGATCAAGGGCAGAGTTAGACTTGATGCGTTTGAAAAATTCTTTCGAGAACTTCCTATGTCTCGAACTCGTGCAGTCATGGTACATCAAGGCCTTCTTTTTTTCTGTTCTCTGGATTTCTGTTCACAAACTATGCAATGTAGCCTCCAATTTATCTATGAGGTTACCTCTTGGACTAGTACTAGTAAGAATGAACAAAGCAGTTCTAATAGAAATACTTGAAAATGATAAATTGCTGGAGTATTTTAGCTTCTGGAGTTTGGTTTTTGGAATTTATTAGATAATGATGTTTGTTATAATCCAAAGCGAAGAACTGAACACGAATTCTAGATTAAGTAGAACAAAATTGACTAGGTGGTGCTTTCGGATATTCTCTTAGAAATTGTTGTTTGCTATTTTTTATCAAACGGGTGATCAGAACAAGAATACTAGATTAATAAGTAGAAACAAAATTGACTGGGTGGTAGTTTCGTTGAATAATCGTAGATAATGATGTTATTACGGCAAGGGATGAATCACAAGAATCCTCGATTCAGTAGAATAAAAATTTTTGAGTGGTAAAGCCGTGAAAAAGCTTATTTGTTCCATAATTTGGCCCCGTAGCTTCATGGAACATACTCTGAAATGTTTGTCGATAAAACTTTTGTTTGTTAGTAGATGTTTATAAGCTTCACTAAAGCAAAATCGTTTCTGAAAAAATCATGATAGCCAATTCCAATAAACTAACAGCTGCTTTCTTTTTTCCTACTAGCGATTGAATCACTTAAAAGCTGCAGGTTTATGCTATTCACCGATTTACATTTTGATCCATTGATTTAAGCCTTTAGTTTATAGCATGTAGTTTAGTGTTTTACAGTTGTGAAGGATTGGCTATTCAGTCATCATCATCTCCAAGATCGTTCTGTGTACAAAATTATTCTTTTTCGTGTAGTTTCTTTTAATAAGTTGAATGCAATATAATCTGGTATAACCCCAGATTTAGTCGTGCTGAATACCTAACAAATAAAAGGAATTCCTACCTTATCAGGTTGAAAAGTTCAAAATAGCGGACAGTCTAACCTTTCGAATTAGACGGTGGGTTGGGGGTTCTTTTGTTGTAATACATGCAGATTTATTCCAAGGAAAATCAGCATTTCATAGTTCGCATTTATTTTCCGTTTAACAGATTTAACTTAAAAAAACTTTCCTTTGTCTGGATGAGCAGATTCTCCACTTCATCTTGAAGAACAAACAATCAGAGAACGAGAGGACGGCCGTTTCTGAGGTTATTACTTTTAACTAGATCATTATTTCTCATCGTTACTCTATTTCGTTGTACATGTAAATAAGATTGTTGTTCGATGTACAGGCTGTAGATTCATATGTTGCCGAGGATAGATTGGGATTTGCGGAGCCGGCCCCTGGAGTCGAGCTTTATTTATGCCCACCATCCTCAAAAATGCTTGAGATGCTATCGGAGCACCACTCTAAGATGGCTAATATTATTGATGATGGATTAATTGGTGTAGTTGTATGGAGAAGACGTCATATAAGCAACACAATATCACCTAATTCCTCTTCACACCACAAACATAGCTCGAAGAAGCAGCCATTTGCTGCCCATCTTAAGGAAGGGCAGAACTCGAATAATAACAAGAATACTTCGGTTTTGGTACCTGTGTCCTATAAGATCCCTACTCGTTCCAATCCCAAACCAAAGGAGGAAGAGGATGATGATATCCCTCCTGGGTTTGGCCCTGTGGCTGCTGCCCGAGCAGCAAAAGATGATGATGATTTACCAGAGTTTAACTTCTCTGGTGATGTAAAACCTTCTGTTCCTGGGGCTGTATCTCAAAATTTGCATCGTGGTGTAAAAATGACTACTAGCTTTAATCAAAACCCTCAACTCCCGGTTGATCAAGTGAGAGAGCTTATTCAAAAATATGGACAAACTGAAACCAGTTCTACAAATAGGAATTGGGTAGATAATAAAGATGTTGGAATAGAACCGTGGAAGGATGATGATGATGACATTCCTGAGTGGCGGCCTAATGCCCCATCCTCAGCACAGCCACCCCTTCATGGCTTTCGCCCATCAGTGCACCGCCCTTTGGTTAACCACCATGTTATTCCTCCGGTTGCTCGAGCACCACCGGCAAATCCTTCAGGCCTGGCATCTTGGCCTCCAGGGGCTAGATCGGTGCACCCTGCTGGTCGTCACCCGGGGGCCAGGTGGAGGCACTAGATAGGATTTGTATGACTGGGAGTTTCGGTTCTAGATATCTGTCGTGTAAATTATAAATGCTTTTGCTTTTTTTTTTTTTTCTTTTTCTTTTTCCTGTCTTGATTTCAGTTCTAGAATGTTAGGATGTAGTGTAGCTATATAGTGAAAACATGTTAGCATTCCTGCAGTGTTTTGTACCTTGAAATTGAAGTTAATTTTGTTTTAATGTTCAGACGAGTTTCGACCCAGTAAAGTTTTCCTTAAAGCTTTTATTGCTTTCTTTTTTGACCATTTCATGGAACCCGTTTCTGCTACTTTTGTACAGTTTTGAATCTCCTTTAACGTATAAGACGTCGCAGGATGGGGATTGGGGGTGGTGTCGCAAGTTGGGTAGAAGTGATTCTTCTAAATGGTAAAACATGTACATGAATAATATAAACATTTTGTTCAATAGACAACTCAATCATCTCTTTTGCTGCTGATAATCAGACATCTAAGAGTAAGCGGATTTACACAGATAGTGGCAAGGTTGCAAAAGAAATTTCTGAGTCGAAAGATGCGAGAAAGAAAGAAAAGAAAATATAACAGTAGGACTACGAAAATTATTATCAACCTCCTAAAGAACGCTTGAGGGCAGCTCGTTGCTCGGGCGTCAGTCTCGTAGGGAACTTAACTTCAAACCTGATCTTCAAATCACCTCGGTTCCCCGGCTCTTTGGTGATTGGCATACCTTCTTGGGAAACCACCAGCTCGTAACCCGGGATCACAATATTGTTCACCGGAATCGACAATTCACGATTATCTAGCGTCGTGATGTTCACTTCCATTCCTCCAAGTGCTTCTGCTAATGTCACCTTATAATTCATAATGAGGTCATTTCCGTCTCTTGAGAAAACATTATGCGGCTTTTCGTCAATTACAAACACGAGATCTGCGGCCAGCTGGTTTAGCTGTTCGTTTCCTTTGTCGGGAAAAGTTATCTTAGTTCCCTTCTTCCATCCCGGCTTCACATCGATGGTCAATATTTCCGTCTCTGACCCTAATCGCCTGTGAAAAATTTCATTAATAATCATCGTAAGCGTTATGCTAGATTAAAGAAACCACTAGATTTTCTTAGGCGTATGACTATTAGAGAATGAATGTTGGAAAGTGTCGATTATTAAAGATAAAAATACACAAATATCGTGTTAGGCAAGTCGAAACTAAATTTCAAGAAATACGATATGTCTATTCAAATAATAATCCTGAATTTTCACCCAATATATTCGATCTATATTCATGCATTCATCTGGCAATCCTATTCTAATGCATTCATATGGTCTGGACGCGAGGAGGCATGTTGAAGACTAAACTTAAATAAACGTGTCATCTTTTTAACAACTTACCCGTTTGTATCCACCACTTGTCTTGATATCTTCATTTTTCTAGTCGATCCAGCATACAACTCCTCGAGGCTGCAAGGCAATTTACTCTCGACCGGCGGTGGTTTCTTAGGCATGCTTGCACCAGTTCCATCACTGTAATTTCTAAAGACGTTACTAGTCATGCCGAATCCACCAAACGGCCCTCCTCGATCAGACGAGAACCTCATCGACCTCGCAGCTCCTGATGATCCAAATCCAAAAGGGCTACTTCCAAAGAATTCAGCAAAAATATCCTCTGCATTTCGAGGATTGAATCCATTTTCACTTTCATTAGAGCCAGGAGGTGGCATGTCTTTTAGACCTTCTTCACCATATTGATCATAGGTTTGTCTTCTTCGTGGATCACTCAAAACCTGAAGGAACATTAAAAATGTTATTAAAGCGCAGGTTTTTTTTTTTGAGGATTGGACAGTAATAGACAATATTAAAAAACAAAACAAACAAAATTTTCCATCAAAAAAACATACTTCATAGGCCTCAGAAATTTGCTTAAATTTGGTCTCAGCTTCATTCTTTTTGGTGGGATTTTTGTCTGGATGCCATTTCATAGCCAATCTTCTATAAGCTTTCTTGAGATCATCTTCTGTGGCAGTTTTGTCCACCTTCAATATTTCATAATAATCCACCCCCATTATTTCTCTAAATTCTTCTCTTATGTTTGAATTTCTATCATCAAAAGACATAAAGGGTTCTTGTTTTCTGTCTCTAAAACAATATTTTCTGCAGAGATTGAAACGAATTCTGATGTTTGAATATAGATTATGCCAAGAATAGTTGTGGGCTTTGAGAAAATAATTAATTAGACCAAGAATGCTTATTTTAGTAGGGGAAAAAGGGTGAAAGAAAAAGAAAAAAATTATTTAATGAGAAGAGCACCGCATTTAATGGGATATAGAGACCTTCCATTTTTGCATAAACACCGGAGGACAGGGAATTTCAATATGTTGTGCTTCTTTGGTTTAAATTGGACTGTCGGCTATGCGCATGTGGAGTAATTCTTTGGAGATTTTGCCCTTTGTTGAGTGTTAAAATCAGATTTTTAGCAAATGTTAATAAAAGTTGATTAAATGTATGGTTAAAAAGTTGTCCATTCAATAAAATATGTGGTTAAAATTAATTGTTGACTTTGACTTTGATTAAAATTTGAATTTGAATTTGAAATTTTTCACCAAACAAGGATAAGAGTTTTTTTGATCGTCGGTATTGACAAGTGGGTTTCATCTCGAGCAACTTTTGACTTCATTATTTTATAAAAAAGATAAGAACTAATGAAATAGTCTATATTACCCTTGTTAAATGTTGGAATTACTTATACACATTTTCTCGCCCGTCATATTTGATCATTCTTAGAGGGTAAACTTGGCAATGCACAATAAATACATCATGACTACAATATCGTGTCCGAGAGTCCTTAAATGCCAACAGTAAATTTTTTTATTAAATTTCTTTAAGAAAAAAAACTCATTCTTCAAAATAATATGTGTCAAATGGGCTGTAAATGTATGGTTAAAAAGTTGTCAATTCAATAAAATATGTGGTTAAAATTAATTGTTAACTTTGACTTTGATTAAAATTTGAATTTGAAATTTTTCACCAAACAAGGATAAGAGTTTTTTTGATCGTCGGTATCTGACAAGTGGGTTTCATCTCGAGCAACTTTTGACTTCATTATTTTATAAAAAAGATAAGAACTAATGAAATAGTCTATATTACCCTTGTTAAATGTTAGAATTACTTATACACATTTTCTCGCCCGTCATATTTGATCATTCTTAGAGGGTAAACTTGGCAATGCACAATAAATACATCATGGCTACAATATCGTGTCCGAGAGTCCTTAAATGCCAACAGTAAATTTTTTTTATTAAATTTCTTTAAGAATTGCTCCCAGACAGAGGAATAATATATTTTCTATTTTAGATAGTCAATGTTTCAAACTAAATTTTGAGATATTCTCTATTATTAATTTATAGTTATTTAATAAACTGCACTTTTTAGTACTCTACTACTTAAATTATTTAAAATACATTTGAATTGATTGATTATTGACATAAAAGATATGTTAAATAAAATATGAAGAGAAATCAATTAATATCTCGTGAAAAAAGCAAATGGAAAAGCGAAAATAGATAGCATTTTTAGATTGTATAAAAAATTTCTTTTTTCTAAATATAAAGGTACTATCTACTATGCATAATGATAATATGCTATTTATAAAAAAAAAAGTCTTTTTTGAAATCTCATTATAATTTAAAAGTTAAAACCGTTAAAGTCAAACTTTCATTTTAGCAATACATTTTATAGGATCTACAATTACTATACATTTATCATTTACAGATTTCTATCAATTTTTAATTCTGTAACTTATAATCGTATATTTAAGACACGTTTAATAAGCGAAGCTCACATAATCTAGTAGTGATATATATTAGATTGGACAACCTAGGAGGTAAAAAACTCGAAGCCAACTGTGAAGTAGGCTAAAAATGGATGGTAGATTCGATTCATGTCTTGTAGCGGACATCGTTGGTGCAAATGTTTTTCTATTTGATTCATTGTTCAAATCGAAACTTATCATTCTTTTAGGAATTTTTTCTATAGTTAGAATTTGGGGAGGCAACTTACGACCTAAACTTTGTTAGTTATTGAACTAAATATTGAGCTAGTTCGATGATTGCCTTTGAAACTAGTGATGAATAAAATGACTTAAAAAATATAGGAAAATGCTTCCTGTTATATTTACATAATTGGGTTATATAATAATGAAGTGTCAAAATATAAGTGAGAAAGTTATTTGATTGATGAGATTTTGATCCAATTAAATTTCATCATGTATCTGTTGATAAACAATTATGTAAATGGTTATATACATAGAGCACAACCCAAAAATATATTGGTGTGTGATGTGCCCAAAATCTTTATCATGTCCCTGACCTCGAGCTGTGAGGTCGGGTGTGTACGTTGAATGGCAGAGCACTTGTGCTTGACTAATACCCTCTACGAACAACAATCCTGCTTTGACCGTAACTCCTCATGTTTCCTATCTCAATACAAATTGCTAACTTACTACAATTTTGACTTCAACTCAAAATGTACACTCATAACATAACACAAACATCTTACGTGATAAGAGCTGCAGGTAGTTGGATCCTTTCAGGACTCTAACTCTAATATTTATAAATACAACATTAAACCTCATTATTCAGGTATGTTTTTCAACAACATTCCATCATATATTTTGTGATTCCTTTCTTCGACTTAAGCATCAGAGGGGCGACGAGAACACACCTCGACGCTTTTTTTTCAGGTATTGAAGATCATAGCGTGCGGAGTTCAACCATCCGATTCGGATCAATTCAGGTACGAATTTTGGTAGCATCTTTGGCTCCGTATGTGGGAAATGGTATGTTAACCACGTTACCACCACATCCAAAAATCACCAGAAAAGATTTTTTTTTGGGGACAGTTTTTCTATCAAAAAATAGCAAAATCAGCAACAAAAGAAAAGGGAAGAAAAAGGCCAAAAAAGAATTTGGAAAGAGAAATTTTCGATGGAGGAGATTGACCATGAAAAATAGTTTCAACAAAGTCTCGAGCTACCTGCCTGAAAATATGGCCAAATACACAGCTCGAGCTCTACCAACAAAGTCTCAAGCTACTTGCCTGAAAATATGACCAAGTACACAGCTCGGGCTCCACTTGTTTTAATGACAAATATCATAAGAACTCGAGCACCTCATTGCATCTCATCTCGCAGCTCGAGCACATGATTATCGGCTGCGACCTGGATGCACGGGGGCCAGTGATGTGCCCAAAATCTTTATCATGTCCCCGACCTCGAGCTGTGAGCTCGGGTGTGTACGTTGAATGGCAGAGCACTTGTGCTTAACTAATACCATCTACAAACAGCAATCCCACTTTGACCGTAACTCCTCAGGTTTCCTATCTCAATACAAATTGCTAACTTACTACAATTTTGACTTCGACTCAAAATGTACACTCATAACATAACACAAACACCTTACGTGATAAGGACCGCATGTAATTGGATCCTTTCAAGACTCCAACTCTAACATCTATAAATACAACATTAAACCTTATTATTCATGTATGTTTTTAAATAACATTCCAGCATATATTTTGTGATTCCTCTCTCCGACTTAAGCATCGGAGGGGCGACGATGACACACCTCGATGCCTTTGTTTCAGGTATTGAAGATCATAGTGTGCGGAGTTCAACCATTCGGTTCGGGTCAATCTAGGTACGAATTTTGGTAGCATCAGTGTGTGAGCGACATGTCATGATTCTACGTCAAAATTGACGGATATCCTAAAAATTGACTAACTTTTCCAAATACGGAGGTCTAAAAGTCTGAATTAAAATATTGAGGATGGATTAGTAACATTTGCTAAAGTTTGGGGACCAAACATACAATTTGTTCTTTTTATCTTTTAAAACACGAATGGATGAGCTGACGCTGAAAGCCAGAGAAGAAAAATGGCAGCTGCTCTTCTCTCAACTTCGTTCCACAATTCTCTCCTTCCAAATCTTCCCTTGATCAGGTACCCCGCCCACCCCACCCCCTATTGATCACTATATATAGTGATAGACGTGCACACTGTACATACAGTAAAGTCTATTTTCATAGATTCTGCCATTGGTGTTGTGTTGCAGGAATTATACTAGCAGTATGACTATTTCAAGTCAAAAATACTGTAGAAAGCCTGGAAATATGAGAAACTTAATGGAATGTTCTAATGATTCTTCGTTACCCATTTTGCGAAATGGGATTTTAAGAAGGGACTTAATTTTTACGGGCCTTTCTTCGTCGCTCTTTCTAATTTTCCCTTCTTCAGGTAAATTCAAGAAATGCTACTCTATTTTCTTTATTAATTTGGTTTCATACTTGAAAGTCTAATTAGTGTATTTCAAATTGTAGTTTTATTAATTTCTTCTGAGTTACTATTCACTTCGCAAAATTTTGAAGTTGGCATCTTTTTGCAGAATTGTTCTTATATTGGGAATTGAAATTAGGGGCAAAGAGGAAAAAAATCAGTTGTTTAATTAAAGGGTAAATGGCACTTCTATGGTTGCAGGTTTTGGTGCCGAGGAAGAGTTCAAAATGGATTTAGCAGTTGATGATATAAATGCTTATTCATATTTGTACCCAACTGAATTGCCTTCCAAGCAATTTGTCTTCAAATGGTTAGTGTTTATTTAAATGTAACTGAGAAGTATCGAGAAATGATGATTTGTAGTTAGAAGGTAAATTTTAAAGTTCATGTAAAATTTAGTCCCAACGGTTTTTAATGCAGTCTTTCCAAAAATGTATTTATTTTCACAAAGCTTGTTTAGGCATGAAAATGAGCCCAACCATGAACAAACAGGTGTTTTCTATGTTTATTTAGTCCAGGGCTGGTACACAATGCTGGAAAGGACCTAAAGAACAACTTGCCTTGAATAGCTTGCTTCAATTATTTTCTTAATCTGACCTTTGTTGGTTTAGGCTCTTAACCATCAAATTCTGTGCATAAATGTTGCCTCACATTAACATCTTGTAGCTTTCCATATCTTCAATTGTATAAAATTATCAAAGATTGCTGATGAAAAGGAGAGAGAAATTACTACTAGAAGAAATGAATCAAAATTCTCTTCATGATTTGCTTCGTTTTGCATCTTGTATGAATGAGATGCCAACGACTGTTGTTTTTCACATGGAAAAGTCTATTTTCTACTAGATTTAATGAAACTTTTATCTTCTTTATCTTCCTGTATCTTAATTTATAATGTAGGAGCCTTTAATCTTTTCATCTATTTGAAGGGTTGAATCTAGAAAGCCAGAGCGTTATTCATCAGCTGCACCATTGTCCCGTAAGTCGGCAAACTTATTCCTCTATCCAAATGCTGAAGTCAAATTTTTTAATATGGTAGTAATGATTTGTGTATAGAATTGGCAAAATAGGTAGAATCTGTATTAAAGTTTTGAGTAACATGATATTTTGACATATTTGTAAGCTTGCTTATACGCTGATTGATATGATACAGCTGATGCACGACTTCGCATTGTGTCTGAGAGAGTCGATATCATCGACAACCTCATAATTTCTGTTTCGGTAAATTTGATGCTACCATATTCTTCCATAGTTTGGTCATCATCTTTATGGGTTTTCGTTTGACTTTACATATTTGGTTCAGATAGGTCCCCCCAATTTGCAGTTCTTAAAATCAAAGGACAAAACTACATGGAGTGCCAAAGATGTTGCTGATTCTGTTTTATCTGACAAGTCTGCTCTGGTAATTGGCCTCCCGTTTTTGAACTTACGTATACGTAATCCTTCTTGAATGTAAAATATGTGCATATTTTGAATGTAAGCTCGAGCTTTCTATCATCTCCTTGATAAAGCTATTGCTTATGCACAGTCCATTCTTGGGATTTTCTTGCACTTGCAAAACTCGACCATTCGCTTACATTAAGTGTTTAAAAATATTGTATTGGTTTTTTACAGCGTGTTACCTCCAGTCAGCGTATGGCTGAAAGTTCGGTCCTTGATGCACATTCTTCTACAGTGAGTTTTTTTGCTGTAAACATTTAATGAAAGTTATAAGTGGCAAGAATTTCAATCAATTCAATCATTATTATATTGATCTTCTTGTATTTTCTTCTCAGATTGATGGTGAACCCTATTGGTATTATGAGTATCTGATTCGTAAATCACCAACTAAAACTGTAAGTTTCCTATTGAACGGTTTACTACAGCAGTCAGCAGTAGAATATCTAGTTATATACTTATCACGGGGCTGAATGATGCAGGCTCAGGATTCAAATATTTTCAGGCATTATGTTGCTACAACAGCCGAACGTGATGGTACGGTGATGGATCATGATGATTCACCTTAACAATTGATGATAATTTATTTTACTTTTTTCACAACTGATTGCTTAAGTACCGTATTTTCTTGAAAAATTAACTAAAAAATAAAAGAAACATCAGCCGTCGGTGATGTAAGATGGTTATCAGCTATTGTACTTTCAGATGAATTTATGTCTAAGATAAAAGATAAAAGCGGACGGCTAATTTTCGTAAGTTTACCATTCTGATCAGAGCCATTTTGATTCACAGGTTATTTGTACTCTCTTAATGCTTCAACTCTTAGCAAGCAGTGGGGCAAAGTAAGTGTTCTTTCTAGTCAAATTGCAGATCAACTAACTGTGGCTTCAGAAACTTGTAGATTACTCCCTGCTGATTTTAAAATAATTTATCCCCCCATGGTTTTATAAACTCTAGTTTCACATGAAATATAAGAACAGGTCAAGTTAATGTATGCAGAATAATATAAACTCACAAGGGGTAAGTTGCATATTTTAAAACTTCATGATAGCACGTGTGGGTTTGTAAAACAACACGAGCTAACTTGATTTTCCCTTTTCTATTCTTGTATCCATGACTTTGCTTATTAAACATTTTATACCTTGATGGGCAAATGTCGGATATTATCATTTTTTATTTTCTGAGTGAAACTTGGATAGTATTTTCATCTTTTTCTGTTTTCTTGAGATCTGTCGTCAATGGTTGCATACCCTTTCTACATCACCTAGACAGAAACTGTATCTGTTATGTATATGTAGAGTTTTGCAACCGGAAAGTGGTCTCACAACACATCTATATCACGTCTGGAAAAGAGACTGGATTTCTGTGTGTACTGGATAAGATAAAAATGAGAATATATGCCAATAGCTGGAAGAGGTGCCCACTGAGGATAAAATAAGGGAATGATGACTTGAATGGTTTGGGCATGTTTGCGTAGGCCTAAAAAGACTAGTTGATTAGAGTGATGCGGTCTCGCTAGAACAAGTCAGAAGAGGGAGGCATATACCAAACCAATGTGACGTGTTGTTATTGCTAAGGGTCTAGCTGCTAAGGTCATTAGGTGGATCTAGCAACAAACTGAATGGAGCGGAGAAAGGATTCATGAAGCCAGTCATAAATTTATTGGAAGAAGCTTAGTTTCTTTCTTTTGTTGTCGTCATCAAGTTTACTCAGTTCATGATCAGCATGTTTTTAGCTTTGCAACGTTTACTTTACAAGACAGACATACTATGAATTCAATGGAAACATCATTTTTCATCTAAATTAGATTAACAATAGGAATATTTCTCGTTGTATCTAACATTCGTTTCCCTTCCTGCTTAGCTGAATATTCTTCAATCAATCAACTGTGAAGATCTTGACGAAAAAGAAAAGAAAAGAAAACAGTAAACAAAATTATGAAGTTTTTCGCTCCATTGTTTTTACATGTCCTTCACTTTGTATCCTGCAGGTGGGACCTCTGTTGGAAAAAACTGTGGCTTCATTCCATCTTCTACCTCCCACAGAAAACTACGTACCTCCATACAAGGACCCGTGGAGGTTTTGGTGAAAGGCTCATTCTTTATATTTTTGTCCCATTTTTTTTTCTTCGGACGAGCTCTGTTTTCGAAATGCAATTTTGTTCTAGCCATAGAAAATTCTCTATTATGTATCCTGCTACTGAGATGATGTTTGCGTTGCTTTATAATCTAAGAGTGAAGCAAAAGAATTTTTTTTAAAGCTTTTTGAGTAGTATCTTGCAATTTTTGGATTATGCAGTGATGCCTTTCGTTGTTGTAGAAGTTGAACAAGTTATTCAACTCAAAATACTAATGTATCATTGTCAAAGAAAATTGCGATAAAACTCCACAGGTAGCAATCAAAAATATAAACACAATATGCAGATGTGATAATGAATGCTCTGGTGAATCATTTTTCCAAAAGTTTGAAGAATATATGCTGGAGGAAGCAATACAGATGCAAGATGCATATAAACACGACATAGATAGGAAATACTATAAAAGCTTCGCGCTTCATTTGATCGATCTATACACACATCCTCGAGGCCAGAATTCAAAGATCGATTTCTCCAGTGATATTAAAAAAAAAAACACGACATAGATAGGAAATACTATAAAAGCTTCGCGCTTCATTTGATCGATCTATACATACATCCCCGAGGCCAGAATTCAAAGATCGATTTCTCCGGTGATTAAAAAAATAAAAAACCCGACATAGATAGGAAATACTATAAAAGCTTCGCGCTTCATTTGATCGATCTATACACACATCCCCGAGGCCAGAATTCAAAGATCGATTTCTCCTCCAGTGATAAAATAAAAAACACAGAAGGGCTCAATTCAAATGATAAATGAACTTGCACAAGAATGCAATTTCATAAAAACTGATATATGAAATCCGTTGAAGTACCAAGTTAAAAACAAATATTCATTGAGCAAAACCGTCTGGGAACATTTATTTTGAAAAAAGAGGCTGAGCACAAGGTTTATTCCACATGGGTAAACAATTAAATAACCATCTTCATTTATATGTTACTCCAATACTCTGCTCTTTACCGTAAAGGTTGCTGATTGTAATGGTTCTTCTCTTTCTTCTTGGCAGCGGCAAGTTTTGCACTCCTTGCAGCAGCCTCCACGGCAGCAGCTTTGGCGGCAGCATCCATCTCCTTATTAGATTTCTTCTTCTTAGCAGAAGCAGCCTTCTTTAGTCGCTCCTTCACATTGACAGCAGAAGCACCATCTTTCATTTGTTCGGTTTCAGTGGTATCCTCTTGTCCGTTAGGAACATCTGTGCTGCTGGGCTGATCCTGGCGTTCCTTCACCTCTTTTGAAGCTTTATCCTTCTTTTTCTTCTTCCTTGAACTCTTGGATTCTGCATGGACATTATCCTTCTTTTCTATATCTCCATTCATCTGTCCCTCTTTCGTCTCCAGGGAAATATCTGCATGTTCGTAAAGATGAGATGCTCAGTTCCAATGATTATCAATCTATATACTATTTGATGGTAAGACTGACAGAGAATGAATACACAGATTAGTCTCTCATGTATAATAGAATTAGTAAATTGCCAAACAAAATAGTCCAAAATAACATGCTGAAGAGATAAGGGGAAGTAAAGAAAACAATTACTTCAAATAAATGTGGTAACCACAGAAAATATTTATCCAAAAACATTTAATGAAATCCTAAATTAACATATCTCCAAGAGACAACAGAGTATATAATCACCAGATGACTCATCTATGGCTTTCTCTTTTGGGGCAACTCCAATTTCAGCCAAAATGGCCTCCAGCTCAGCAAGCTCCTTTTTTCTTCTCTCTTTCTTGGAAAGCTGTTTATCTGCCTCTTTAGTTGCTGGTGAAGCGTCTACAGACTTCTTCACTACTGGCTCAGCATGTTCTTCCACCACTGCTTCATGATCATGCTCTTCTTCCATGTCGTCATCACCTTCATCAAGAATATCATCTTCACTCTCGCTTTCCTGCAATTTGGATGTGAAACCATGACAAAATACTTGAGGAAAGCAACCCATCTTAACCCCACGTTCATCATTGGATGATTTCATAACTACAAGAATTTTACCATTTCTTCGACACAAGGGATCTTTGCAAATGATCCTATATTCTGAAATTTAATTTTAGTTAACAAGAACAAAGTGCTTTCAAAAGGGGATAAAGGCATTACCAACTCCATGAGAACACCAGCAAAATGAATTCAGAGAAGCGTGGAATCTTTGTTCATGATGACAGAGGGATAATCCTACAGTAAATAGGATATGGCTGAAGAAACCAGAGCCCAGAATAAAGAAGCGTTGGTGACTTGACATTCTAGTGGTCAAGAGAAAATGAATAGAAATGCTGACATGTTAATGAAGGCAACTCCCATTTTTTTGCCTCAGATCATGGTTTCTTTTCTGCAACCCCTTTAGTTGTAATTGTAGGGTAGATATCATATCAGAGATACAGGAACAGGAAGATGAGGGGGAGAATACGAAAGAGAAAAAACAGAGCTCCATGCGTTCATTGGTGCACAAGCACACACATACATAGAGGCAGACTGATAGACACCGCATACACCATTCATGCAAAAGCGCACAAGCAGAATGATGGGAGTGGGGGGAGGGGGGACTAGTGGATGAGATTGGAGGGCAGACTTCTCGAGTGCTGTGTTTGGAAGAGTGGAAGCCATAAAACATTAAATTGTTAAACTGCTTTGATTTTCTTTTCCTATAATTTCACAGGTAGAAAATAGTCTGATTGTATTAACCAAACCTTTTATTTTCCCAATTGAACAGAATATTTCTATTTGAATTCTCCGTTTTGTTTTCCAAAAACTGCAGCAAACAAGCCCGAGTCAAGCCTAATAAAGGATAGAATCTACTTAGAATGATAATGACAAAAACTGAATACTAACGGATATAATTATGAATACCAAAATCCTTTTTGCTCAAAATCAATCATAAAATATCTATGATCTACTTAAGGGAAAAATTCATTTGATTCAACATTTGAAGGCTTGATAACATGATCTTAGCCATGAAACTTTACGCAAATCAGGGACTAATGCAGGAAAGGCTGAAAGCGATTACAGGATTTCCCCAAATAGGCATGAATCAATATATCAAAGAAATTCACATAAATTTCCAAGGATGTCACGAAAGACTACGACATATGCAACATAAATAAACATCTGTAGTCTAGCTATCACGAAAATCCACAGTACAAACCAATCAACAGTTCATCACCATTAATTTTTTTAAAAAACTACACTGTTAATTTGTAGCAAACAAACGCAGAAGCGGATCTACCATTACCAAATCAATTATGTGAAGACTGTTGATGCGATCAGCATATGAAGTACAAAGTACTTATTGCCAGGTTCTTGGCGACACTTGGTAATGCAGATGAAAAGAAACATGAAAACAGTGGGAAACAGAACCACCTTTTTCTCTTTTGACAAAATATTATGATTTTTCTCTTTAAGAAAAAGAGGAAATCAAAACACAATCTCGACAAGCATGCCCGGGACTGAGGAGCCAACCTAGAAATATTGTCAATTTTGCCATAAAACTATCATAATGTAGATAAGTCGCTCAAAAGTATTGGCTACAGCAACCTTTAAGACCCTTCCATAGATAATACAGAAGAGGGCCCAACAAAAGGATTCCTAGTATCCTTGTACTATATAATGCATAAAGATGAAACAATCCTATCTTATCAAAATCACACTCCAATAAACAACAGTAAAATCCCCCAATCGCAAACCATTTGAACACCAAATCAGCCTGAATCAATCATTTAACACACGAAAATGCAAACAACATCATGCTTTCAAGATAACCATTTGATCATTAAAATAACAAGAACCATATAACAATTCATCATTTTCACTCATTATACCTCCACAGGATCCGGTTTCTGACTCTCTTCAAGTTTACTCGACCCCGAAACACCCCAAACAGACTGGGGTGGAGCATTGGTGGCATAGTAATCATCATCATCCTCATCATCCACGTCAGCCCACGACTTCACAGTCAAAGGAGCTGGAGCCCAAAATACCTGAGGCTTCTCTTCTTCCGGTTCTTTTGATTTCCCAGCCCCAGCTTTCAACCCACTCTGACTGCTCTTTGCGGATACCTTCTCTTTGTCAGATTTCTTCTTCCTCCTCTCCAGCACAGCAAAAACATTGCTGTTGCTCACCGTGAACGATCCTTCATCCTTCCTATTTCTACCTCCCACCATTTTCTAAACTCGAAAAAGCGAATCAAATACTGGAATTTCACGTGAAATCTCAACTCTCAAATGTAATTTCAGCGAATATCACAAACTCGATATCAAACAAAGTTAATTAACACTGTTCACAACAGAAATCGACAAAAAAATCCAGTTAAATCACTAATAGAAAATCCAAAATCTAATCCGGATCGTATATAAAAATGATCCACTGATACACAAATATCTTTCCAGATTTTTTTTTCCCGGAGAAATTAATATATATTAGTAGTACTTTATTTTCTGAAAAGAAAGATTTATTATAATACTTGTGCTTAGTTCACGCAAATGGAATTTGGATTAGGTTACGAAAATGATTAAGAAAAGAAAAGAATAATATAAATATAATTAAATAAGAAAAACGTGAATAAACATAATATCATTGGGATCCCGAACCTTTAAACCTTGTGACAATAAGGTCCCTAACCTTTGATTTCTATACTCCAAGTCCCTATATCTAAAAAGGAGTAAGTATGGCACTTCTGTTATGAAAACCATAATAGTAAGGGGTTGTTTGTTTCTGATTCTCAAAATCAATTCTCAAATCAATCCTCATTTTCAACTACACATTCTTCAATAAAATAATATTTTTCATCACATCAATAACTTTTTTTTATTTTTCAACCACACATTTCCCATCATATCAGTATTCAAAATCAATTCTTCCTCCAAAAATCCCTACCAAACAAGCACTAAAATACTAAATAGTCAAAATTTTCTCAAAATGACCAATCTACCATTATTCAAATTAAAATAAAAGAAACAAAAAAAGAATGAAAAAGTAAAAGTGAAAAATAAAACAAAAATTTGCAACTAAGTTCCCGCCGCTTCTTCAACTCCAAAATCACCACCTCCACTGTCGCCTCAAAAGATTAAGCCAATCTCGTATAATTTTGTCACTTTCAATATACTCTCAACGTGCCATAAGATTTTTGTTTGGATCACCAATTGGCACAAAGAAGAGCGAGAAAAATGTTTAGTTAGAAACTAGATTTAAATACACTCGTGGTCACTGTACTTTATATTTAGTGTTATAATGAGCATTCAAATTGATTTTAATTTACTATTGTCACCCAATTTTATTTAAGGTTTCAATCAAACCACTCGATTGTTACCACAATAAAAAAAATACACACTAAAAAATTCGAGCATAATTATCATAAAAAATAAAAAATCAGAATCAGAAACAAAAAAAAACACCGAATCATTAAAAAAAACTATATAAAAGCATAAACAAAATTTTTTCTTGATTTGGGTTGGTTTATATTGTATAATTTTTAAATTTGGGTTAGTGGATTTTTCTTGTATATATATATATATTTTATTTATTTATTTATTATTATTTTTTTTACATAGTAATTTTTTTTCTTGATTTAGGTTTGATTTATAATATAATTTTTCCTGATTTGGGTTGGTGGATTATTATTATTATTATTATTATTATTATTATTATTATTATTATTATTATTATTATTATTATTATTATTATTATTATTATTATTATTATTATGATTATTATTATTATGTGAAAGTGTGTGATTAGTTGTATATTTTTGTATCTACTTTCATATATTTTTTTCTTTTTTTTGGTTATGATTACCATTGTTATTGTGTGTGTGTGTGTGTGTATATATATGTAATTCGGGTGGTTATCAAAATTAATTTGTGTGGTCATGACGATATTAAATATAGTGGAAATTACACAAATTCAGAATTTTAAAGATTCAATTTCAAAAATCAGATTGGAGGTTTCACTTTTCAAAAATCAGATATTGTATTTTTTAATATTAAATATTAATTGTACAATTTTCATTCAAACCCTAATCAATTTCATCCCAATTTTCTCTCTCTTCCTTCTCTCCACTCTCCGCCGCTCTCTTCCACTCTCCTATGTGTTAATTCATGGCTAGCTAATCAGAAATGGCAGCCGCAACAGAGGAAAAAGAAACAAAGAGTAGAAACAAGAAATATGGCTTCAAAAACCGACACAATTTTGAAAAGAAAAGCCATAGATGCAAGGTGAATTTCCTCGTGCTGCAACCTGGCATATGTCTTGAACTTCCAACACCACAAGCCATTGCCATTACCAATCCTGTTTAGCCTCTTAAACAAGTACATAAAACTCCAAGACTTCTCCATAATATATAGTATAGATTTTGATGGGTATTTGGTGGGTTGGGTTGGGGGGGGGGTTATGTATTGAGGTAGCGTATTTCTTCTTGAATGATTTTCCATTTTGGATAGTGCAGTGGTGCTTTCAGTCGATTGGATATGTTGAGGTGGTTGTGATGTGTGGTTGTTGTGCTTGTTCTAGTGGCGGTGGTTTTGGTGATGTTTGGTTGTGATTGGATCTGGTGAGGTTGTGGTAGTGGTAGTGGTGTTTGGGTGACAGTGATTGTGACTGTAACTGTGTTGGAGGCGGAGGTTACGTTGACGGTGACTATGACTGTGGTAAAAATCTGGCAATTGGATCACGTTCTGGTGTTTGGGCGGTTTTTGTTGGTGGTTGTAGCACATGTGGTGAGCGCTGGCTGTGGTTGTGAGCGTCGACGATGGTGGTGGTCACAAATGGTAATGGTGGTGGGTGACTACTTATTAGATTGATTGTGACCAATAATTTGGTTAATTTGTGATCAATAAAATTTTAAAAAATATGATTATGACTCATAATTTATTAAGTTGTGACCAAAAAATAACTTGTGACTAATTAGTTGTTGGAAGTGGTGGTGCCTGGTGGATAGGGGTAGGTAGTGGAAGAGAGTTTGCGACCATTAATATGAATATTATGTGACTAAAAAATAATGTGTGATGGATAAATTGTGACTAATAAATAATATATGACCTAAAAATTTGAATTGTGGCTTATGAGATTTTTGATTTGTGACCGATGAACAAATTGTGATACGTAAAATTTTTGAATTGTGACCGTAAAATAATTTGTCTTATAAAATTTCTAATTTGTGACCGATGAACAAAATGTGACACGTAAAATTTTGAATTGTGACTTATAAAATTTTTGATTTGTGATCGATGAACAAATTGTGACACGTAAAATTTTCAATTGTGATCATAAAATAATTTGTGACTTATAAAATTTCTGATTTGTGACCGATGATAAATTGTGACACGTAAAATTTTTGAATTGTGACCATAAAATAATGTGAAGTTTCAATTTTTGATTTGTGAGCGATGAACAAATTGGGACCTATAAAATTTTTGAATTGTGATCATAAAATAATTTATGACATGTAAATTTGTGATTTGTGACCAATTATATGGAATTGTGACCTTAATGTATATAATTAATAAAATATATATTTAATTTATTTATTTATAAATAAAATTAAACTGAAATTTGAAATTTTAAACTTAATGTCTTAAATTTAAAATTAGTAAATAAAACTTCTTAATTATGAAATTTTCCCTTAAATATAAAGCAAGGTGGGCCAAGAAATATTTAATGGTGAAGTGGCTTAGTAATCCAACTCACATTGGACCTACTGCTCAGGTGGTTTGGCCAATAGTGGGCCAAGAAATATTTAATGGTGATTTAGCTTAATAATCCAACTCACATTGGACCTAGTGCTAAGGTGGTTTGGCCAATGGTGGGCCAAGAAATATTTAATGGTGATGTGGACGAGGTTTCCAATCTAAATAACAAAAAAATGGTTCCTTTTTCTAGCATGCCTTTTTGCGAAATGCTTATTATAACATCAATATTTATATAATCTTTTACAATCGACGAGGTGTCAAAAAGAGTGACTTTTTTTTTTGTTATCCGTTGATGAGATTTTGACCGAATCAAATTTCGCCACTATCGAGCCAATGTTGTTACACATCGTCTCTTGAACTACCAACTTCACCATAAAAATTGCCGACTTAGCCCATGTTTGTCATCCATTTTATCAAACATTGTTTGCGACAATAAACAATCTTTAACACATATTCACTCAATAAAATATTCTACACACGAACCAATAAAATTACTTTATTTTTCAACCACACATTGTCTAAAAAATACTATTCAAAACTCTATTTCTGTGCCCAAAATGGTAGACAAACAAGCACTTAATTATGCTGTCTTCATCATGTGAAAGCCATCAATATTTTCATCATTGTTTTATCTTTTGAAAATAAAACCCATCGAATGGAAAACAACCTGACATTTTAGAAATTCAGCCATAAATTGGAACTAGGAGTAGAGGTGAAAAATGGATTGCTCTTGTAAGAATATACTAAAAAAGTATAAAATAACCCTCATGGGCCTGCCAGCACGTTTTAGCGGCTCGAGGCCAGAATATTTAAGGCAAACGGGAAGATCTACCACAATGATATTTTTCCTTCAAATAACTTCTAAAGATACCATCCAGCAAAACTTGTACACATTTACATTCTCAATATACAAGAGTCGTGAAGAGCAGCAAAATGCGAAGAAAACATTAAAAGCTTTATATCAAATTAGTAGACAGACATGTAATGGAATTTTCTTTCTTTCTTTCTTTCTTTCTGTTTTTTGGAAATTATATAGTAGTGTGCCAGGTTGTGTACTATGCCACGAAGAACATGAAAAACATGAGAAATAAAATCACCACAAAAAATATCTTGATCATCAGCCACCTATTTGATGAGACGCTTTTGAGATACTTGAGAAGAGCCCCTTGAGCCCCCTCTACATTTGATACTGTATCGTCCATGTTCTCATCGATCCTACAACAAGATAAAATTCTTGGGTTTAAAATCACCACCGGAAGAACTGAATCTTTCAATCATAAACGCATAACAATCTTCAAAGCTATAATTTTTTGGTCAAGAAAATCGAAAACAATACGCAATTACAAAATAACATACTGGAAAATGCATTTCAAGTATGAAGTGTGAAAAGTGTTGATAATGAGCTTATGAAAGCACTAATGAAACAAAAACAATTGTGTTCAGCTTCAAGGACAAACATGTCACATGAAATGATGAAATTAACTGGTACGAGACACCAAGTTATTAAGTATGAATTTCTGATTCCCAAGAAATTGTAAAAAGCTAGAGTTTATATGTAAACCTGATGGCAATCTCTCCTTGCTGAGAAACCAAAGTAGCCAGCTGATTAAAGATATTTCCCAGCTCCTGAATGGTTGATTCCACATTCTGAAGAGCGTCAGATCTACTCTGCATGTAGCCATCTTGAAATGGAACCACCTGCTGCTGCTGATGCAGTAATGGCTGACTCTCCCCATCCACCTGATTCCTGGCGCAGCAGTTACACAATAAAAGTTTACATACAAAAGTATCTCTTTATAGCTGGACGAATTTAGATTACACTCCTTTGCTCAATCAAGGATCTAAAAGCGGGACCAGAATTTGCATTCAAGTTCCAAGAGATTCTTTTAAGTACTTAACTCAACAAATGCCATTGAATAAGCTTCAGATAAAACATTTTTCATTTTCAAAAGTAAAGATACGATGAGTGTTAAGTTGTGGAGCCTAATTATTTCCACCGCGCGGAGCTAGTATGCTAATCGAGGACGTAGGACATAGTATTCTTTTCATTCTCTTGTAAAATCCTTTTCATCATAGGGAAAAATTGCAGTACGGACGAGAATGTGTTCTCATATTGAGGCGAAATTTCATAAATCTTGCATATTCTTACTGCAATTTTATTGTTCTTGGTGGTATAGAATTAGGGTTTATAAGTCATACATTTCCTATAACTGAATCCAGGAAGTGTGAATAATAAATTAATAATCATTGAGTGGACAAGTAATCACATTCTTACTTGGATAACAATTGGGAAGAAGATTGAGCTCCTATAGCCCATGGAAGAGGTGGGGCAGCTGAGGTACTTGCAGCAGATTTTGCAGCTGAAGGACGCTGGCGAATGTATGAATTTGACGGATTCTGGGAAGCGGTAGAAGAAAATAACTGTCTTCTGTTTTCGTGAACCTTCATGTTCTGCAGAAGATCCACAAAATTATAGCTCGACAAATGTAATTTTGACGGGATACAACAAAAAATCAGTTGTCAAGAAAGTAGAAGTGAGCAAATAGATTAATCAATATAAACATTAGTCAGCAACATCTCAGGTCACCTCAGTCCGCATGGTCAAGACTTCCTTAAACTCCTTAGTGGTGTTCATCAGCCGATTCTTCAAATCATCAACAACTGTAGTAGAATGAGTGGTGGTGTCGCTCGAAATATTTCCACTTCCATTTCGTGAATTGCAAAGAAGCTGGAGGTCAACTACAGCAGAGTTAAGTGCGGTAATATCTTGCTTGATAACTGAGGTCAGCTCCTGGATTTCCATGGTAGGGTCATCAAAGACTGATGTCCTCTTTGCCACTGCAGTTAAAACAAAGAAAACATATAATCTATTTGCCCACATGGTTGCATTGCATTCTCATAAAGAAAGAAATGAATTGTATAAAAAGTAAGAACTTAAGGCTTGAAAGTGTTCTTTGTCCACAAGAAGCAATCTTCTCATAGATAAAATCTCATTCATGTTTGATTCCTGAAGCTTCATTAAATTTGTAACTTCCGCAACAAAACAATTGCATACCTTTGTAACACACAACGCCACCAATCAGTTTGTGTTACTTACATTGGTATTTTGGCACTTAATTACATGCAATTTGAATACTCGTCCTCGTACAGCTTGTATACAAAAAGCATGGTCATCAAGATCACGGGAGCTCAGTGGAAAAAGAAGAGCCCTCTCAATGACATTTTACTAGGATTCTTAAAAACATGTAATAAGGCCAATACCAATTTTATGGAAAGACGATAAAACTATACAACTGAAACATGCAATCTTCTAGCAACCCCATTTGGCCATCATATTTGACCATTTCATGAAAATCGCAGCTTCAATTTGGGACAACCCCTTTAACTTCTTAATGTAGAAAACCAAAATGGATTTTCGTTGTAAACCCATAAAAGAAACATATGCCAACTATCAACCAAGCTCAAGTTGTCTCTATTTTCAACTTTCATAGTGTTCGGAGAAGCAAATTCTTCCAACAACATCAATTAGATTTCACATACATGAACATGACGTAAGCACGCCCCTAATGACCACGCACAGATGTTAACATGCATAAATTTTCAACACTTTGAAAAATCGAACTAACCAATTATAATCATAGGAATTCAATTCGATCAACCAACAGGGGCACATGTGCACAAAGAATTCCCCTGTTTCGACTATATTCTTATTATAAAACCTTCAAACAATGTAAAGCGATAAAATTTCCTTCAAACAATGTATTAAAAAAAGGATAAAATTTCCTACAAAATTTTTACCATTTACGTAATTTATAGCGAAAAAGTACAAATTTTTAACTTACATTTCGTGAGCTTAGATAGCTTCTGCGAAGTCTGGTGAATCCCGAATCCAATTTTCGACGCCCGACGATTGAATTCCGATTGCATCGCCATATCTGGCCGCGGCTCATCCACAATCGTTGGATTATTGGTTGCCCCATTTTGCGAGGAAAATGGTTTCCTTACCCTATCCACTACCGCCAAAAACTCCTGCGTCCGATCCCTAATCGACGCATTTCCACTCTTCACTGACATGATCCGACACCGATCAGATAAAATTCTCGAAATGGAATTTGACAGAACTTGGAATCCGACAAATTACAAAAACGGAACGGATCTTAAACCATGCTATCCTGAAATTATTCGGAAAAGAAAACCCATATAATCAAAACATAAGATAATAATTCAATGAATAAAATTAACGTGAATTCTGTATACGAAACATGCATGTTTTGATGCCTAGACCTAATTGAACAACAAAAGGGAAGATTTAGGGATTCACTGCACACGTTTAACTTCGGCCCTTGAAATTTCAGTAAAATTTATATTGAGTCACAAAATTAATTTGTTTGAATTGCATCACTATACTTTAATTAAATTTCAATTCGATACTGAGCTTCGATTAAGTTTCACTCCTTTCTCAAATGCTATTTTCCAAACTAATGAAAATTTCTTAATTCGCAATCGAGTCATCATGAATATTTTAAACAATCACATGCTAACTTACTTTCCATTTCACGGCATATAAGTGTTAATACAAAAAAAAAAAAAAAAAAANTAAATTGAAGTTCGGTGGTCATATTGATCCATATCAAAGTTTAATGATCCAATTAAAATTTCGATGGAAGTTTAGTGACCACAAATGAAATTTACCCACTGATGTTAGAACTGTAGTTAGTGAATTGACTGAATTTGACGGTGTAACGAACGATCGTTAAGGAAGTGATGACAAGACAATTATGTGCACGATGGTATAAAAAATGAGTGATGCTACAAGTACATAATGGTCTACATAATTACAAGTGGCATTGATCAACACCTTTAATTCAAATCTGACACTTTCACATCAACGACAGGATGGTTGCCACATCACATGATGTCATCCATTGTGTACATTTATTATGTACACTTAGCATTTTTCATAAAAAAGATAGTAATCAAAAGAATGGCAGCAAAAAAATAAAAATGAAAAAATGAAACAAAGCAGCAAATAAATTAATGCTGCCATCAAGTCTCCTACTATTTTTCGACAAGGAGATGAATAGGTTTCACGAGAAACAAGCAAAAGAGTCTATGGGAATTCATTATTCAGTGTAATTTGCTACGATGTACCGATTCTATTCTGATTGTTAGAAGAACTTTTTGACAATGCAAAAATAGTGTGGTGTATTCGACAATGTATTCACCATCGCAAAATTTGGAATCTTGCACTGTACCAAATTTGTAAAGTTTCAAGATGCTAGAAATTTAGAAGGGGTTGGTTTGAAACTTTTTCTTATTGTTGTGTTAATGAGTTTGAATTCACGAGAAATTGAACAAAACGTTGTCGAATTCCTATTTCTTGCACGTATCAATTGAAGTATTTTGAGCGAAACACATGGGGCTGAAGAATGAATGCTTCCGCAACAGAAAAACAAAATGCAAAAAATTCTCTTTTTTTCTAAACACAACTTAAAATTTTGTTAGAACATTTAGTCGAACCAAAGTCAACGTATATGGAACAATAATAGAATATGACTCCTTTTGTGGTCTTTTATATGCATACGAATCTTTGCAACTTAATTTAACAAGAATAACAAATTGAACTAATGAATAGTGGATTATAATATAATATTTTGCTATTGCCATAAAACAACTTGTTAGATTTAAATTTCGAGTTCAAATACTAGGTGGGTATGAACTTCAATGTACACAAATTTGATTATCCCGTCTGGTTTGGGAAAGGGGCCGGCAACGCTGCAGGTATTATGGATCCTCTAACACTCAAATTGGGTTGCCTTCCTAGGTCTTACCATTGTTGTTGATAGGTCGTTACGTGCCTCGAGATGGAACTAATTGCTTTGAAAAAAATGAGTAATGATATTTGCAGTCGCTCACTGTAGTACTCGTCCTATGTGGCACACACATGACATATAGTTATTTGATGCATTGATGTGGTAGTTTTTGACCATATTTAATACATCAAATACATACTTGACATGTGTGTACCACATATGGCGACTGCTGCAGTGAGCGACTGCAAGTAGCATTATTCGAAAAAAATATATTGCTTTCAAGGATTTGTTAATATCGGTAGGGGATAATATCACAATATTTTCACAAATATTATGGAAGCGTCAGTATCGTGTGGTCTAAGACTCCAGAGTCCATACTCATATTCTGGTTCTAGTGAGAGGGTATGAGTTCAAATCTCACTTCTGACATTTTTCTTCTTATTTCTTCTTCTTGTGTTTTTCTTTCGGGTTCATTTATTCGTGGTCATTGTATTTTAATCCAAATGCCATTTGGGAAACTTCAATTTTTGTCAATTGTATCATCATACTTTAATTTGATTTTACAGAAGGTCATTTCGTATTATTTATTAATGACAGTTGATGACAAATACAAACAATATTCTACGGAGTTGTCAAGATGCTGCCCACTCAACAATTTATATTCACGTCACAAATTTAAAATTAAACAAAATGCCTTCAAAAAAAATAAAAAATAAAAAAAAAATGAACGTGACAACATCTTGACTACCTCGTAGGATGGCTATATGTATTATGTGAAACCAAATTAAAATGTAAAAACTAAATTGACATGAAATATATTACAATGATCCAATTGACAATTGGATCAAAATAGGAGACAACAAATTGAATGAACTCTTTTATTTTTCTTTTCTTTCGTCGTCTATTTTTATTTTTCTTCTCTTTGCCGTCTTCTATTTTCGAATTTTCAAAATGGTGAAAACGCGTTCTCTTACTCACTTTCAAAAACGAGATTTCAAAAACANCTACTGCCAAGCCCCTAAAATCCTGCCAACCTCCTCCAAAATAGCCGGATTAATATATCATTGTGAAGCCATCAATCCCCTCTTCAGTTACCACACAAACAACAATTCAATCATAATGAGAAATATGAAGCCAAACTCACCGAATTTTTCGCAGATTGCCTTAATTTCTCCCACAAATTCAGCAACTTCTGGACAAAAATGACCAAGACCCATAACGGGGCTAGGTGCGCCAGGTGAAGAGGGACCAGCCCGAGTGGTCCGCGATCGTGGATCTCCCTGCCGTCCTTTGAATTTAGTTTCTTCGCTATCGTGTCGCGATGTTCGCGATTGGCGATTTTTCCAAATTGCAAATGAAGTTTTCTATTGTTGTTTGCCGTGAATTGGTGGCATGGTTGTTGTCGTCTAGTGTTGGGGAGTTGTCTGGAGTTGTGTTCCGACCATGGGGGTGGTCGAAATCTTGATTTCTGGCAATTTTCAGTTGAGAAGACAACGAATTTTGAACACGAATTCTGGCCTCTGTAGTTATTGGAATTGGGTTCAGTTGGGTGGTATGTGAAGCTTGAAGTGAGGGCTGCCGACCTGTGGTAATGTCCGACAGCTTTGGTAGCTGGAGCTCACCAGAGTTTGGCTTCATTTTATGGTGGGTGGCGGTCGGTTTGTGAGAATGGAAAATAATGAAAATAATGTAAACACCTTTTGAGGAAATGTTTTGAGAAATACTTTTACAATTTTTGAAAATAATTTAAAAATTTACAAAGAGAAGTCAAAATGATTATCGTTTTGGGTGTTTTCAGTTATAATCAAACCCAATTTTTCAAAATGTCAAAAAGAACACATTTTCAATAATCTCAAAATGGACACTCAAAACACAAAATGAATTCGAAACTCAAAACTTAAAATAGAAACACAAAGAGAACGATCCTGAAATTTTCATCCATTTTCTCATTAACAAATGAAGGATGAAATCCGTCCGCCTAAAAGCTATTATATGTCTATTCACAATAAAAAACAATGTGCTTTAGGGTTGCATTGGATTAGATCGAATAATTTAGTATCAAACTAACACCGATGCTATGAGGTAAATGTTATTCTTTGAACTTTTATTTAAAAGAAATTTTTTCACCCATAAAAAATTAAATAAAATCATATAAGATTTTCAGACATTCATATCTACACTACAACTTTTCATTGTAACAAATCAACTCTCGGGTTCGTTCTTCTCCGGTGATCAATGGCCAGCTCAGGAATCAATTACGATCGAGAAGCCAGAAGACGCCGTATTGTTGATAGAGGATCTGATCGTTTAGCCCTAATTACCGGCCGTATCCACTCCATACCTTCCGCCCCTGACCAACCCGATCAATTGTCCTCCGGTAACCCCAATTTTATATTTTCTAATATTTTGATCTATTTACCTGTGTATATTGTCGCTGAATTTGAATTTCTGTATGACAATTTGGGTTGGTTTTTTTTTCCCCCCTATATGGTTAAACAATACGTTTCTTGATGTTTTGAAGTGAATTAAGTAACTTTTATTGACGAAGAGATTGAGTGCATAATCTTGGGGGCAATTGGCGTAACTCTGTGACATTTTAATAAAGGAAGCTAAGTCTAATTGGAGCATGATATGTTAAGATCAAATTCACAATTAGGATGTGAAACTATCCGTTCAGGCAATTCCATAGCATGATCAGCTTAAGTTATTTTAGTTATTCCTGTCTTCTTCCTTGATACTGCACTTTCATCGCAGGGGAAGTTTCTATTTCTGTTTTGAAATCTTTTGATTCATCTCAATAAAAAATTTAGATGTATCTACTCCAATGAGTATTAAAGCTTGACTTGTGGGTTTATTAGTAATTTGGTTATATCCTTCCCTTACAAGGCAGTCTTAAGGATGTCTATCCCACGTGCTTGTAACAATAGTATCAGTTTATCAAAGGAAACACCTTTTTAGGGTTTCTCTCATTGCGGATTGGGAAACCTGAGGAGTACTTGTATTTGTTCCTTGAAGTCACATAGCTAGGAATATGAGACTAGGAATATGAGCCGCCATAAAATATTGATTTTGAAAATAGGGGTATATCGCAATGACTCCATTAGGTCCTACATCACTAAATTAAAGCTTGGCCTGTGGTCTTATAAGCACTTTGATCATTCTCTCTCACAAGCACAATCTCACTGAAATGAGAAGTTCATATTGGCAAATTTGTAGTACGAGATTTTCAAAAACAATGTGCTCGAGTGTTTCAGCTATAGT